TCTTTCTCTAGGGTTTCGACCCGAAACACCAAATGGGAGTTATATATAGAGAGAGAGAGAGAGAGTGAGTTCTTGAGTGATCTTGGAGCTTAATTGGAGTATTGGGTTGATCTTGACGACAAGGATTCAAGCCTAGAAGAAGAAGATCTTGTTCTCCAATTTGTAATCTCTCTCTTCTCTTTCTAGAAACTCGCCCTCTTCTCTTGGGTTTAAGAATCCTAGTCTTTGATTTTAATTGGGTGTTGTTGTAAGTGACAAATCCATGTTTCATTGACTTTATTATCTAAGTTATGGATAGTTTCATGAATGGCATGAGTTTGGATTCCATTTTCATGTTTTGAACTTTTGACCTAGGAGAGAGAAAATTCCCTAAGAGCCCCTTTCTTGGCGTCTTTGGGTCACTCCTCACCCTATTATCGTCCGGGAAATCCTCAAGTGAGTCAATTGGATCGAGCTCCTACGATATAGGGGGTGTCCTAGGTTGAATAGAGCACCATTCGTCCATCACTTCATCGTTCCGGGTTCGTCCCGAGGTAGTTCATCTCCTAACGGTAGGGTAGTAATTCGATCGAGCTAGGATGGTACTCAATATCGATCCTACGATGGAGCTAGGAGGAATCAAACCCAAAAGAGCTCCCAACCTTGTAAATAGCTAGGTTAGTGGTTAGATAGGTTAGTTAGTTTAGTTCTCTTAATCACTATTCTAGGTTGGCTAGATAACAAACCTTAAACCGAAGTAAGGTAAGCCAAGAATCCCCATTGTACGATAAATTATTATTGCTTGCTTGTCCTAAGCTACACCCAGTCGGAGGTTATTCTTGACCGTCGATCAGGATGTTGTAGTTGGAACGAGTCATTGGGCGAAGACACCGATAAAGTTGGGAGGTTTAGGAGTTTGTGATCTGAGATGTATAAATATTTCATAATTGAAAAATTTTCATGGAGGTATGCTAAAGAGTCGTGGTGGCGAAATTTAATTGAAACCAAGTATGGTTCAAATTGCTCAGAGTGGCGCACTCAAGCGAGGAGAGAAGGAGGAGGTTTTTCACTGTGGAAACATATGTAGAAGAAATACTTGTTATGGAGTTTTGCATATATGGCTCCAGCAGGAGGATGGTTATCATTTTGGAATGATCAGTGGGTGCCTGGGACTTCATTACCATATGAATTCCCTAGAGTGACAGCGGTATCACAAAGTGTTGGCACAATTACTCCTAGGGGTTGTTTGAATTAAGAATTTAGCTAATGAGAATTTGGCTCACAATCACTCAATTAAAATCCTGGTATTTCAAACCCATAATTTGGGTTAAATATATTGTTTGTTTAGGGATGAGAAATTTATTGGTTAGAGAATTTAATTCTGAAGCAATTGCCTAAATTACAATTATCTCCTTTGGAACCAACAACCGATTCTTCCCTGCCACTTACCGTTGATCTCGCCGGATTCTTTCCTGCCGTTGCATCTAGGGGTGGCTATACGGTCCGGTCCGGTTAAAATGGACCAAATTGATTCGGTTTCAGTCCGGTCTTTTCGGGAATATAAGGACCAAAGATTGGATTGGATACAGTCCGGTCTTGATCCGGTCCGGTCTTGACCCGGTCCGGTCCCAATTTTATCTTGATTTTAGGTGTTGGGGGTCTCTTATCCGGTCTTTATCCGGTTTTTTACCTCAAATCTAAGCCCGAATATGAGATTGCATTGTTTGCTATCCGGTCCCAGTCCGGTCCGGTTTCGGGTAAAACCAAACAGTCCGGGACCAAATAGCCAGCCCTAGTTGCATCCTCCAAATCCATCAGTTTTGAGACCCACCAACTAGAGACTGTGTTCTTGCAGTTCCCACAGCCTCCGCCGTCGTCGCGAGAATTTTCGTGGAGCGCGCACCTGCAATTGTGGTGGTACGGCCGACGCGTAACAGCGAGCCTTCGAAGAACCAGAAGAACCCGTTCGTCGCGGCCGATCCGCAGCCATTCACGCGAAGCTGTTGTTGCTTCCACTTTATTTCTCCTCCTCTCCGAATCAGAAGGGAGATCGGCGATCGAACACAAAGGAAACCAGAGGAAGACGGTGAGTAGGATGTGGATTTGGAGCTGCAGGGTCTCGGGTTAGGATACGGACAGAGGATCTGGATTCGGAGACGACAAGGAGGAATTTTCGCCGATGTCGAGAAGTTTGGGGTTGTCGAGGGAGGAGTACAGCAAAGAATGGTCGAGAAGATTAGGGATTTGGAGTTGGGTGGTAGCAGGGGCACGTCTGGTAGAAACAAAAATTTTGGGACAGGATTTTAAAATACTTGGGGGTTAGCAGATATTTCTAATTTTTGGGTGGGCCAAATTTAAAATTTTCGGAGGTCCAAATCCTGCATTCTTTTAGAGTTATCCAAACAAAAAAATTGGTTAAATTCCTGGACTGGCCAGGATTTGGACCAAATTCCTGTCCAATTTCCCAGGACCCTGATCCAAACGACCCCTAATGCATTTTCTATGGATGATAGGATTTGGAGTCTTCCAACTACGATCCAGTTACGAGGAGGTGCTGAAGTGGAGCGTCAGATGTAACTCCAACTTTTAGATTCGCTGCCATATGATTGGGTTGGAGAGGGACCTCCTCAAGTGATATTGCCATTCAATAGGGAACAAATATTTTCAGTCAGATCTACGTATGCGAAGGTTGTGCAGTAGAAGTTCCGAGGAAATTTCGATTTCCCTTATAAGTTGGTGTGGCAAGCGATAATCCCTACGAAACTACAACAATTTTCAGATTTCCTGACAATTTTTTTTTGTCATTTTAACCTTGTCGTAATAAAGTATCTAAGTTGACAATTTCAAGTTTGTCAGAATTTCAATGTCTATTGTGACAAGCATCAATGTTGACATAAACATTTATCACATTAAGTACATATTATGGCAAAAATATTTTTTCGTTAATATTTTGTCAAAATATCGTTGGATAGAATGAAATTGTCGAGTACTAAATGACAACATATTCTTTATAAATTTTTTTGTCACACTATATACCATAATGACAAAATTTTTTGTCATAATATTATGAATTTGTGAAGCGAAAGACAAATGTGTTCGATTATAGATTGGTGGGAACTTGTGGAGCGAAAGACGAAATGTTTGATTCGATAAATAGGGGAGTTGTCATAATATTGTAGTTTATATATGTATTCTGACAAAATCATTCGGCATATAAACTTATGCATATTCATGTAATATGAAAAAGTTTAGTTTGTTATAGAGTTTTATGCAAACTTTTGATTTGGCAGGAATTAGTGGTGAGAAACATAAAATGTTTATTGTGACAAAATAATAGGGTTGTTACGATATGTGCTAGTTGATATTGATACAAACACACGATTTTTTCATAAGAAAAATACAAAATTAATACGATAAAAACCCTAAACTATGGCAAAAACTCTTTGTTAATGTGACTTGGAGCCTCGTTTTCTATGGTCAATTGGAAATCAAAGGGGTTCACTTGGCTATATGTGTATGATTGTCCATTTTGGGTCTATTGGAGAAGGTGTTCTAGATATCTTTCAACCCATCATAAGTTATATTCTTATCAAGTATAGTGAAACTGGTCTCTCCTCTCCATGACGTAGTTAACACACATTATGTTAGTGAACCACATAAATCTATATGTTATTTACTTTCTTACATTGTTGATTCCTTGTTTCGTTATAACAACCCTAACCCGAAACTCTAAATCATAAACTATGAAAAAAATGTTAAACCTAAATTCCAAAATAATTTCTTTTAATGATCTTCGTTGGGTTATTTTTTCAATTTCAGCCATTTTTTTATTATCCATTTCAACGCTCGATTATTTAATTTAACTATAGTAAAACTGATTTTTAGTCATGATCATGGAAACTTTTCCCGTACTAAGTAATATATAAGGAGTGACAGGAAAAATTCCCATAATTAATTGTATTACTCTAGTCATGAGAATTTATAAATATATTTTTGAGTTTTTAGTTCCCATTATTAATAGGGACTTTGCTACGGTAACATGCATGTCATGGTGACATGCACTTTTCGGTCGACCTCATATAGGATTAGGTCGACCTAATCTGTTGTTTCATTGTAAAAACAATTTCATGGTGCCTACTTTGGAGATTCATATCTTACAATTGGCTAGATGAAAATTGGAGATCAATGGCTTGTTTTAAAGTTGAAGTGTCGCTCTACACATTAAAGAACTTGGGAGCTCAATAAGAAGTCCAGAACACCATTTTTGAACCTGATCAAAAGGATATGCCAAAACGTGGAAACTGCCTGAAAGTGGCTAAGTCTAGGAACGTGTTTAAGAAGTCTCGACTCGCAAACACGTTCCCAGCCTTAGCCATTTTCAGCTTGTTTTTCCAGTTTTGGCATAGCCTTTTGATCAAGTTCAAAAATGGTCTTCCGAACTTCCTATCGAGCTCCCAAGCACTTGAATGTGTAGATGGACACTCTAGCTTCAAAACAAGCCATTAATCTCAAATTTCCATCGAGCCAATTTTAAGATATGAATCTCCAAAGTAGGCACCATAAAACTGTTTTTACACAAACAGCCGAATAGGTCGACTTAATCCTAAATGAGGTCGACCTAATCCCACATGAGATCGACCTAATCCTAATTGAGATCGACCGAAAAGTGCAAGTCACCGTGACATGCATGTCATAGTAGACATTAATAGTTTATCACGGTAAAACTCTATTGAATAATGTAGAGAACATACTTTTGTATGAAAAGTAATATTTTATCCAATTTATTTTTATAAAAAAAATTCAAAGTTTTAGGAATTAGGAGTGAAATTACCGCGTTTCTTCTGCTTCATTCACGGGGCAAAATTTGACCCTTTAAAGTTTTCACTTTGTTTTCAGCTTCCCGCCTAGCTTTCTCATTTTCAATTTTCCTCTCCCGGTTTCTTATACGATGAAAAACTAAAATAAGAAAAAGCCTTACTTTTTTTCAGCTTCCCCCTTCTCTTTGCACGTCCGAGTGAAGACAACTCCTTGTCGGGAAATCATTTTGGCGTCAACAAGTTCCATTCCATTCCCGCTGGCGGCTCCACTTCAACTCCCTCATAGATTCCACATCACAATTTGGAATTCTTGTCACATAAAGCTGTAATCCTTCCGTTACTTTTTTTTCTTTCTTTCGTGAAACTTTACTCTCCTTTTTTGTATTCCAAATTTAAGGATTAGTAGTAGCAGTAGCCGTAGTAGATTTGTGGGGATTCCTCGATGAATTGATGGTTCATTGTCATGAACATGTGGTGGTGTCTCAGTTTCCGTGGTGGTGATTTAGGTTGGGCGATGGAGACAACTGTGATAATAACAGTGAGCATTTATCAGCAACAATAAGAATTGATTTTATGAAGGGTGCTCAGTGCTCCAGCCAAATTGGTGATTTCAAATTTTTCAATGGTTCGTATGATTCGTCTTGATTTCTATTTAAAATGTTTTGAGGGAGTATCTGGTGTAATCTGTATTCAGGGGAGGGAGTCTTCTAATTAATGTACAGATTAAAAGTGTTAAGCTTTCCCGCTTTGTGTGGTTGTGTTGAATTTGTGGATAAAAGATGCGTGAGGTAGTCATAAAGCCCATTTCTTAAGATATTTGCTCTTCTCAAGTTCACTGTTTTGTTTTGTTTATTCTCATGTAAATTTGGCAGTTAGGGGGAGTCTATATGTCTCAAAGTGTGTGTTTACTTATCAGTTAGCAAATATACTATGAGGTCATCAAGGTGTGTTTTCCAGTAGTATGGCCTTTTTTCAGTAGTGATCAGTTGCTCCCTGAATACTCCATATATACAAAGCTCTTCAACCCTTATGAATGTCCTGATCACATGTTGTTGCCCTTAACACTTTTTTCTTGATTAGCTTTATCTACTTATCTTGGCAGGTTGTGAATTCACACATATATGGTTGTCTTAACTATCACTATCACTCATCAAGTTCATGGAAACTACAGGATCATGCGAGGCTTTGGTTCACTGGTTAGTAGTATGGGAAATGCAAGAGGTAGGAAAAGCTTCCGTTGTCAACAAGTCCCTAGACTAGAATCTCATATGGTATGATGATACTCTTCAAGATTGTTATTTCAGGATCATATTTGAGATTATTAAATATTTTCTGTTGCTTTTGTTGTTCGCAATAGCGTTGTTAATCATATTTTCAGATTTGGTGATAGAATTAACATGTTAGATTATGGCACACTGGCTTCGTCACAAAATATATAGACTTCTCATAAATGTAAGTATGACCATAGTGTTCTGTCATAACAAACTTATTTTGAAGGAAAACAATTTCAACACAATAAACTCATATTAGATAATATGACAAACTTTTATAACAAATTCATTTGTCTTAAATGTATAATTTGTCACAAGAACATATCAAAATTTGCAACTATCTTCACAAAATTTTATCATATTATGACAAAATATCTCTTTATCTTGCCATGTTATAACTGAGCTGCTACGGATCGGGAAATCGCTGGAATCGACAAAGCAAGAAAACGAAAACAAAAAACACACGACACACGATTTACATGGTTCACTAGCTAACACAAATGTGTGTTAGCTAGTCCACGGGCAGGAGAGCCAATTTCACGATATCGAGGAGATTATAGATTACAGAGGAGATGATAAGTATTTATACTTCTCCATGTGGGTCTAAACCTAATCCAATCTGGTAAAGGAAACGGTTATAGATTCTAGTCGTAGCGGCTGATAGTCCGATTCAAGTCACATCGACAAATCTCCACCTTGACTTGAATTCTCTTCCTCTGTAATCTCTGATGTACTCTGCTCCTTCTCTCTCTCTCTCTCTCTCTCTCTCTCTCTCCTGCCATCAATGCCCTCTAGGGCGGAGTCACTCACTCGAGACATTCAGCAAGTCCAAGCAGTGTTGAACTTGCCATAAGGAACCAGCTTCGTGAGCATGTCAGCAGGATTATCCGCGGTCTCAACCTTCTTCACTTAATCATATTCTCTGTCCTCAAGAAATGACACCTCACATCGATGTGCTTAGTCCTCTCATGGTGGATTTGATCCTTGGCCAAGCATATTGCACTCAAACTGTCGCAATACACCACTGCCTGATTATGATGTATACCCAGATCACCAACCAGTCCCTTCCACCATATTCCCTCCTTAGCAACTTTTGTCAACGCCATATACTCTGCCTCAGTAGTAGACAATGTCACCATCGACTACAAAGTTACCTTCTAGCTCATTACAGAACTCCTAAGAGCGAATACATAATCGGTCATCGATCTCCTCGTGTTAACATCTTAATCATAGTCCGAGTCTAAATACCCAGACACCAAACACTCTGTATCACTTCCGAAACTAATTCCCACATCAGATGTACCCTTAAGGTACCGGAAGATCCTCTTCACAGCCTACCAATGCTCCTTTCTAGGTTGTATCTTTCTAGGGACACAATTATGTGCTTTCCCTTTTAATATATTCAACCCACTTATAAAAAAAATTCATTTGTACCCCATTTTAATCCAACCAGGGTATTATGCTAGCGGACGAATAATTCTTTATGATTTTTTTTAATAAATGGATCGTCTTTGATTTGTTTCATATCTAATAACATCAATCTCAATATGTTTTGGACATGTAATTTGATAATATTTTATACGAACAAGACAGATATTAAGACAACTCTATAAGCATATTAATATATATAAAGGTGAACTATTGCCTAAATTATTATATTTTGATACTCCAAATTTAATTAAATTACAACTTAGTCATTATAATGTACATTTTACATTTTGATACCCAAATTTAATTTTAATGTAAAATCATTGAATAATTATGTTTTGGTATCTAAATTTTATGAGATTTTCATACCTATTATTTTTTACATCTACATATTGATCCAATGTTTAGATTTCACTTGAATCCATGAATCCAATCCACCAATCATTTTGAACCAATCAATGAATCCATGCCACCATAACATAAAAGTACAAATTTAGTTTGTAACATACAATATGTTGTATCACTCAACTGTAGGAGAAGATTCGACCAATTTATAAAAGCGAATTTATAAACTCATTTAGTACATTTACGGGAAACTAAACAAACTTCTACTAACTACATGTAACAAAATATACGACATCTATATAAGCAAGTGTCAATAAATTGCTACGATGGAAATGGTTGACTGTTGTATTGACGACCAACTAAAAGAATTGGTTAAAACCTTTCCATCATTTACTTACTCTTCGTTTCATTTTTCACTCGCCTTCCATAACAATTTTCTTTATTTCTTTCTTTGTCTTCTTCGTCTAACCCTAATTAGTAATTATATACTATTATTTTTATGTATTCTAATCACAACTGTTAACGAGTCCATGCACGACTGACCAACAGTCTAGAGAATTAATAATTGAACCATGAACCACTAACTTTTTCAGATCAATGTCGAGTCCAATTAAAAACAAATATATATGGTTATTACTTATTAGAAAGTCATTATTTTTCACTATGGGATTTGAAGGCGTGAAATTTTGAACATGTTCTTATTAAAGGGACTCTGCTTAATCCCGCAAGGTAAATATATCCTTCGATTATTTGTTTCTCTCTTCTCTATCCATCAGTCTATGCTATTTGTATGAGTTGATTATTTGTAAAACATATTAAAAATTCTTCAAGGGTTCGGCCTCGATCATCCAGTAAGGTTAAGGGAAGATAGATAGCTGCACTTTCTTCTCTATAAAACTTCAAGATCAATGCAAAGCACCTCTTTATTTTACAAAATTGCGAGGTTACATATATGTATCTTTCCCATACCTCTTGGATTGGAATCGCTGGGTTTCAGGGGAGTTCGTAATGCTTACTTCATTTCTTCATTTTCCTTTTTTAAGGTCATCCTAAAATGGCAACTGTTAGGGGAAAAATGAGTGCTGACATTTTTCTATTCATTTATTGTGCGATCAGGTTTAGGTGTCTGTTGGGAGAGGTGTCTCAACCTTATTGGGGATTTGACGATTTTGATCAAGAGGTGCTTCTATAAAATAAAAGAAATCAAGTTATCAATTATGATTCTATCTGTCAGTGGGGTTGATTGTGCTATCATCTGATTTTATTATTCCATTCCTCTTTTGTGAGGTTGTTGGGGCGATCTGTAGTGACTTTACAAGTCATTCCATTGGAGTGATCTTTATGCTCAGAGTGATTGGTATGTAATGCTCTCTTATTGTAAAATAGTGGATTGTGTTCCTTATTCTTGCGTAGAATAATCTATTGAATCAAGCAGAATTGTTTGTGTGTTTTGGAACTGTAGTTGCAGGCAGGAGAGTGGACACTGTTCCAGCCTAGATATTATATTTTCCTCTGTCCATGCTTTATCCTCTTTACATAGTGCTGACTTTCGAATCACTCTGAGATTTTCAGGTTAAGCATTACCCTGTTTTGGGTGCTTTCTTTCCAAATAGCACATTTTAGAAGTCATCCCCCGTTGGCTCCAACTTCGTCCTCTTTTATTGAGGTACATTACATCCCAACAACAGTGGTTTAGACGTGATTCAATTCATTTTGAAGGTTTTTAGCTTTGAGGTTTATAACTAACTATACTACTCTTCAAATAATTAGAGCTTTCAATTGTTATTTTATTTATACTAGTAAGGAAACCCGCGCTCCGCGGCGGGGAGTTCGTATTGGAAAAATGTGGAGTTTGCTATGGGAATTGACATATTTGTGTGCCCATGAGTAGATTGAGTAGAGAACATCCGATTTAATAAAAAACATATGATTTGTACATGTATAAATTTGCACTGGAATTAAACATTAGGTACATAATATTATTTTGTATTGCAAAGGGGGTGTTGCCATACTAAAGCAGCAGTACATATTAGTTGCTGTCAAATTGATTAATTACTGTTTTGCATTGAATGTGATGTAAAAGAGTGTCATTTGATGATGGTGGGGCAATTGAAAGTTATGTAAATGCTTGTTGGAAGTGGTGGAGATGTTGACATTGTCCCCTTAAAAATGCAGTATAAAAGTAGTGCTAATTAAGGAGCCAGAAGAGTTGGAAAGCAGGATCACATGTTATGCAAGTATTCACAGAGTAGAGGCAATATGGTAGATAGGTGATAGCAAAAGTCTTGCATGTTAACATTTGTTCCCAGACTAATGAAGTAGAAGTTTTTTGTTCGGTAATATCTTAAGACACTTTTTATTTCACAGGTAGGGTATTTTTTCATGGACACCGCTAATCTATGCTGGTGAGAATCCACTGGCGTGGATGATGATGCTGCTGGGTGGGTGATCCGTGTCTGCGTTGCAGTTTGCTTGGGCTGTTGTTGAAGCTGGTTGTGCCCGACTACAGAAAGGATAGTAAACTCCAGGGGAGTATGAGGCAAATATCCAGGCTTAGGGAGTTGAACGTCATAATGAAGCATGCGGAACCAGTACTGTCTCCCACCGCTAAATGGATTTTGTAGCTGGAAAAATGTGTCAGAAATTAAGGGTTCAATTGATTTTGGAGCTCGTAATGGGAAAAAACTGTTTGATGCTAAACTGACCAATTTTGGGTTTCCTGAGGTATCAATTGGCCATGCTCTTCACACCAAAAATCAGCACTACCTGGAAACTCCGTAGCTGTATTAGAACAAAATGCACATCCTAAGTAAAACCATGGTCGTGAAGACTCTGCGGAGAAAATGTGGCGGAAATGGTTAGTGTAGTATGATTATGGGATCAATTCGAGTTCAATTGTTATAAGTTAATTAATTAGAACCTACAAAAAAGGCTCTGTGGTTAGAAACAAATTCGCAACATCGGGTTAAACTCGCTTTAACTGGGTCGAGGGAATGATGATAAAACTCGCCACAAAATCCCAAAACAGGAACCCAAAACATTTGCAAGGTCGACACAACGAAAAATTTGCAAGGAAAGACCAATCAAACCCGTGTTGAATACGGTTGAATACAATTGGGTAACACAGGGTTCAACTCGCTTTAACCAGTTCGACATTAGGTCGAAAGTATGGACATCGACTTAAGCTTGCAAAACTCATTGAGCCAAAATTCGTCAACACCGGGTTCAACTTGCTTTAACCGGGTCGATGTAGGTCAAATACTGATTGATTTGGGTTCAATATGGATTCAACTGTCATAATTTAATTAATTAGAACCTTAATGTAAAGAACTCTTCCAAGTTTTGGTTAATTTAATAAATTTAAGCGCGAAAAACTCATTGTTGAGGCAAAATTCGGCAACATCGGGTTAAGCTCGCTTTAACCGGGTCAAAGTAGGCGGAATGTCAATTTATTCGGGTTCAATTTGAATTCAATTGTCATAAAAGAATTAATTAGAACCTTAGTGCAAAAAGGCACCACAAACTTTGGTTAATTACAGAAAGAAACCCCTTGTGAAGGGACACTATGCAATATTAACTTGGCTACTTGTTCTCTTATAGAGATAATAATAATAATAATAATAATAATAATAATAATAACTCTGGAAACCGCGTTCCGCGGCGGAAATTTTAAGTTTGCCAACAAATTTAACTACATGTTCATATGTGTAAACTTAGTTGCATCCTTTTATTCCAATTTGATAACAAATGTTGGACACAGATGGTAATAATCTAGTGTAAGTTGCAAGAGAATTGCACTGGAAAGATGGTTACGTGGCTGAGCAATAATTCATTCATGTTTTGCTATGAAACGATAAGCTAAAAAAAAATGTAATATCCAAATCGAGCTCTACCTGCATGCTATATCACAAAAGTAACATGGGTAATGTGAATAAAATGCAGAGTCAGTGAAATCGACAAAACAAACTAAACAAAAAATGTAAAAGTAAGACCAAAAGATAATCCTTCCCAAATGAAAGAAGGACACCATTGTCAACTCAGACCTCAACTTTGCACAAACCAGATTCCATAGACTAAATAAATCTAACAAAAAAACACATAATATAAATTATCTGTAAACAGGAAAATCCGAAATTGTAGCAGTCTAAAAGTGACCCAAATCCGTGGAATTTGAGTTTCCCCATTGAATCCTCACTGTTTCCTTGCTCCTGTTCGCCATTCAATGGCTTGTCATTCTTTCTATTTTGGCTTCTTCTTTTGTATCGTCCCCTTCCTCATGAGAAAAGAACACTCATAAGCTATATTCGAAATTGATTTCCACTACTATTTCGTAAAAGAAAGACTGCTAGCTAAATTTAGAATGAGGTTAGTTCAGAACAGGTAAAATAATGCATCATTGAAACTTCTAACAATCTCCCAATCACAAGCATGCTAACACCATCTAACATTGCTAATAAAAACTCATTTCAATCTCGATCATTCATGTCTATATGATATCCTAGATGCTTAAGGTTGCTAATACGCAGCAAGATAGAATGTTGGGTTCCAAATGGCTAAAAACAACCGAACAAAAATCTTGAAAACAAATTAAACAAAAGAGAGCATAAATTTGCTCCCCTTCGTCCTACCTATGTATCTTGTTTTAGACACTCTTTTATGAAACTGAGGTCGCAAACACTTCTATAATTAATTGGGGTAAATAGCATAAGAGAAAAGAGTTGTACCATCAAGTGGCACAGAGAAATAAAATCAAATTAGCGGGGAATTTAGACACCACCGTCGATCATATTTAGCTAAATTTAAATCCAAGGCATGAAATCTATAATCTAATGAAACAAAACATACAAAGGTACATGTAAAATAAAAAAAGAGGATTGCTTTGATTGTAAAAAGTATTTGATCCAAAGCAACTGTTAGACTGCAAGTCAATCTTTCTTCTGAGTGGCTGCATTAAAAGCAGCTAAAAAACTCGAGAGTTTGGAATCAGAACACTACCTTGGGTTACAACATTTATGGAAACTGGATAAATCAACTCTGCTCATGCATCTCAGATCCATTAACACCAAGGCACGCCTTAACAAAGAACAGTGAGACATCAATTAACAGAAGGGCAATTATTGCAGAATGGCAGTTAGCATCCGGCAAAAGTCTGGACTTTCACTAATTTTTGAAAATATGGTCGTGTCTTTGCACACCAGTTTCCGAATCAGGCGACTAAGAAGAGGTAAACTACACAAATCAAACTCAATAAGGCAAAAAAATTATCCTGACTATGAGAAATCTCAGACACTACTTCAAAAGGTCGCTTAATCTAAATCACCACAAGTCTAATTTTTAGTTATGGATAAACTTACATTCAGAAAGCATGCAAGGATAATAATACTATAACAGATAAAAAAAACATACTGAATCAGGTCAGATTGAATGGTCTAACTTACTTATATCGGATCCTGCAACATTACGGTTGCCCGGATTTGTACTGTAACATGTACATACCCAAAGACAACCTAATCTCAATCACAACCCCTAGAAAAGCACCACTACATATTAAAAACCCTGGCTAAGCCTCACACTAAGTAGTTACAAAAAGGGTGAGATGTATACTGCATATACTGAATGGATTACGCCAGCCACTGGAGTTCATGGTAGATCCAACCATTATCGTTTGCACCAATTTACATTAGAGAGAAGCATATTCTCAATACTCAGAACGAAGATGAACCAACTGATAACTCCATCCTGATAGCCTCGGATAAATGTGGTGATCTACTGGGTATGACTCTTAAAATGCAAACACACTTGCATAAACAATGACAATAGGTTGAAGGAAGGAAATACATGGCAAGTAGGAAAATAACCAGGAAGGAGAAGAAGAGAACATAATCTACGTGGAATTCCACTATAGGAAAAAAGGTCAACCTCTGACCTGACCTCTTCTTCGTGTTCTCTCAACAGAAATTGCAACTCAGAATATGTCCCAAACTCGAGATTATATATAAACCAATGGAATCTGAAGACAGAAAAGGTAAAAAAGACAAGCTCTGTATCTTGAATTTGGAATTGAAATGCATACCATATTATACAATCCATGTCTCTGATGGCAATAATGTGTAGGAGCTTTCCACCCAAAAAAAGATAAACTGCAGTTATGCTAGTAGAGCAATGAAATATAAGGAGAGTAATTCCAGAAGTAGACATAAGATCATACTTAACCATTTTGACTGTTTGAGCAAATTCCAAATATAAAAGTTTACTCATTATATGTTATCTAGCTAGATAAAGCAACATCGGAAGACGGAGAAGAGGAAGAGTGCATTACCTTTCTGTGGTTTCTTCAGAGTTACAGATTAGCTGAAAGATCCATCATACATCAGCCGATCGATCCCACCATGGTGCATCTTTTCCCCAATGGCAAATCATGCATCCACTGATCTAATATCTTTGATTCAAAATTTTAGTTGCATTCCTCAGACCCGGTCTCACAGAAAATATCCATATGCTCGGAAATGAAACCAACGATGGAGAATTAGTACTCAACCCAAGTTAAGCAAGCAAAATTTGTATATTCCAACATAGAATATGAGAGACAATAAGGAGTGGAAGTGTTGACCTGCAAGGGGCGAATTATGTATGGGTGGCATAGAGAAGGAGCAGAGAAGACCGGCATTGGCTCTGGCCCTTATGATTGTATCAAAAATTGTGCTTCCCTCTTGAAATAGTGGTTACTCCAGTGACAGATGGGGAAAACATAATCTCATTTTCCTTCATTGTACGACAATTGCTCTTCCTTCCTGAAAGGAAAGGGATATTTCATGAGTGATGGAATCAACAAAGAGTAGACTGGTCGAAAGAGGCACACACGGAACAAAAGAGATAATGCCTACATTGATGCTTTCCCATCTCCTTAACAAAGCAAAAAGGATATGCAAGTATTCAATTAATTGAGCAAAATTCAGAAAATAGAGGCTATAGAATCCAAACCCACCAAATAGATTGTATGTGTTAACTTTACAACTCTAAAATCAATCCAAGTCTCACGTAAACCAGTGTATAGAATGACCGATCTGTGAAACATCTGGATGTAAAACCACTATGATTATGATGTTATAAGACAAAAAAAAAAAAAGCTAGCGAGGGTAATAAGGAATGTCATAAAGGCCACACATAAAAATAGATCAATGTTGATATACCAAGGTTCAGAGCTTCGAGCATTTCTATCCAAGTCATTTCCAACACATATGTCAATAGAGCAAGCATGATGCGAGGTAGAACTGTACCTATGACACTAAACTATATGACTCAAAAGCTTTTCTTAAGCTTTAATCTGTTGGATGGTATCGAGCTATGACCAAATACTGATTCTACTACTTAAAAGAAAGAGGTATCAGACGACGGTATATTTAGGAAAGTTGGGGTAAATGAATTGAGTTAACAAATTATGATAGTTTCTGTAAGTCCCTAAAAGGGAAAGAGCGGGGCTGAAAATACTCTCTAAGGATTTACAATTAAATAAAATTGAACACACAGGCGCAGAGCAAGAACAATCACCTGAAACCAAACAGCAAATCTGTACGTAAAAGTCCATCTTCTCTAAACCAAGAATATTTTTTCAAGTGATAAACTACAAACTTCATACATTAAGACATCAATCAAATACATAGAGTCATCTAGACCTCCGATGAATGTGAAAATGAAGACACATTTACTGTCCATAAGCGCAAGTTTACATCATTAGTTCTAAATGTATTCAATGCAAATGCATAAAGGCTATAGCGATGGAGATCGAAGCAGATTCCAAAAAATTGCAGATTCTCAACAATAACGATTCAGCATCGGACATATAATAAACACAAAGCAATTTTCCTAACTATTGTTCCACAATTGCAGGTTCTCGTAACCACGTTGTTTAGGATGCATCTTACAAACACTTGAATCTGAAAATCAACAAGAGAACAAAAGTTTCAAAAAAAAATCAGATTATTATCGATGCCTACAGGGGTTACCTCTAATCTGTTGTGCAACACTCCAATATGTAAGCACACAAATAAAATGCAGAACAAATTTGTAATGATCAAGTGGATCATCATTCTAAATAAAAATGATGTCCAATGAAACTCTTCATTATGATTGGATTAGAGAGTGTCGATTGGGAACATATCTTTTATGGTAGGAGTATTTATGAACAATAGTACCAAACTATTTTCACTCAAGAGCTACTCATAAAACTGAGCATAGACCTAATTGCCCACAAATTGGAAACTACAGAGGGTAGAAGAATGAATTACATGTACCTGTCGATCCCCTAGTCAACCTTCCTTCACTCTGCTGATCACGACATATTCCCTCTTCGAGTCTGCTGTTGAGCTGCAGTATGGAATGGGTTCACTTCCCCCATCAGCAATGATGACTTCTTTCTCTTGCCCTGGGTCTGGGTGAAAGCAATAAAAAAAACATATGAGAATCATATCAAAGAAAGGTCAATTCCAGAATATAAACAGAACCGAACCCCAAAAAGAAGAAGCTTACCTAATTGCCTCTGATGCCTTTGGAAATCTACATTGACGACAACTCCCCCCTTATCCTTCTCTTGTCCAAACTAAAAAATCCAAAGAGAAAAGTCTGATTAGTTTAGTAGGAATCGATGAGAAAAAAATCGAAACATACAAAAATCAGAAAAGAAACAAATCCACATTAAAAACTTACCTTGCACACTGTTGATAGTTGTCCCACCGGTAGCAGCAGGCTATGTTTCCTCTAGCGGCAAGAGAAGGATCTCATTATGCAGCAAACACAGCAGAGTAAACTACATGCAAATATCCATTACGCGACAAACATTTAGCAACTGAAAACTGTAGCTCTTAACCGATAGAAATAGGCTTGAAAAATGTCTCGTTACTGAAGATTTAACACTTCGCACAAGTCAATCATGGGCTTAAATGGTAGATTAAAGGGAACGATTCAAACCTTTGGAGTTCCTCAAGGCATTAAGAACGATCATGTTGGTGTTGTTGGCAAATAAATTATATTATGACCAGTATAGCAACTTCCTCTTTCTTGCGGGCAAAAAAACTGAAGCAAGAGCAGCAAGATTGGAAGTTAAAGTACCTCCATCCCACTACAATTTACTGCAGGTTTGATGAAGCATAGTTCCTGGAGAAATGCAATGAAAAAGTTAAATATCTCCATCCCACTACAATCTAAAAGGCTAGAAACCCATGCTACCATCATATCAGACGCTGCAGAACTTTATATAACAGGCTTTAACAGAATCTGAAAGGCTAAAAACCAATGGTAACATACTGCAGAGTCCTGTACAGCTGGACCTTACTCGAAGTCGTAAGCTGTAGCCTGAACAAAGTGGATGATATGATAGCTACGAAAGGGCAGTAACGAAAAAGCCCACGCAATGATAGGTAGGTAGTAGTGAGACAGTGGTAAGATATAAAGAACAATTATATCAGCGAAATTAGGACAATGAAACGGGAAAGAACAAAGAAAACACCATTCGTTAAATATGAAAGATAAATCTGCAAACCACATGATGCAGCTAGCACAAAGGAACAAAATACAACCTTAAAACCAATATCTGGAACATATAGGGCAGAGGATAAATTTTGAAACATACAATTTCCAGTCTCTGTGTTCATTACATGCAGGTTAGAATAGAAGATAATCCCAGAACTGACCATGTTGATATCATCATCAATTTGATTCACTGAAGTACTGAAGTTTGTTCGATCAATCGGTTTGATTGTTTTTCCCAGTAACTACTTTTCGTTTCCAGTACTATAAAGTAAAAAGTTCCATATTTACCTAAGCAAAAGTTTACAATTTTTGGACACCTTCTGCAGCAAAAAATATAATCGGCAAGAAAATCAATTCAGGATTTTGTCAACGTTATAACAGAGAACTTGATAAGATCCTTTTTTAATCCCTTTTGAATCCTTCTAACATCAATGATATCACCAATGCTCATCCGATAGATTTCATGCTTGTTCCACCATAATCAAATTCCAGGTAAGCTTGAGTTCGATTACCACGAATGACAGACTTCTTTAGATAGACTTATATTTATTTGAGGTGAATCAAATCAATGGCAAAAGGAAAATCAAGGAATAACGATTAGGAGGAGGGAAGCTCACATCTTACATGTGAGGGCGGACCGTACAAATGCTGGTTAAAATGGGGTAACATTCTCATATCAATCTGTTGTTCTTATATCCTGCAGGAAAACAAAGCGAGTTGGTTCAACAGCAAAAAAAAGGCGACTCGGTTGGTGGTTGCATTAGGTGAAATCATATGTATATACACACCTGGGGATTGAGGGATTGGAGTAGTTTGACATAATTAGAAGTGGAGCACCATTCACGAAGATAGCTTGCCTAGCAGATTCTAGCAAGGTGATTTTTCTCCCACTTGGTCAAGGATTCATGAGGAGATCCAAGATCTCTGATGCACCATGTCACAATTATTATGGTGGACCCTGGTGGTGCAACTTCAGGCAACTCACCCAATAACTGCGAAAACAAATTCCAGTTCCCATATAAATGTCGAGATTTCCCCAACTGAAATTATGAACTGGTTGACCCTAAGAATGCATCATTAAGTGTCGAAAAGGAAACAAAGACCTTGGCTTTATCATACATATGATCTCCACTCTCCATGGACCAAACCAGATCAAAATCCCCATCTGTGAATGGCTGATCCAAAGCATTCCAACTTGGAAGAATGGTTGCTTATTTAATTTCCTACAAAAACCAACCACTCATCAAACTCTCACCATCTTCCACAACAACATTGGTCCAAAACGGTATGTACCATAGGGTTCGATTTTGGAGGTAGAAGAAGTTGACCTGGTCAGCTATATCTTGAGCACCTCCAAGAGCATCGACTCTTTGACAGTGCTCCCCTGTCACTTGTATCCATATTCCTGGCTAAGTAGCCTACATCCACCACGTTCTTTGCCCTCTACTCTGCCACAAAATCAAACAATCAGGAAAAACTCACATTTTGAATTCAGCTAAACTACTTACCGATTACAATAAACCAATCAAGATGAACCGTAAAGTTAGAGAGAGAGAGAGAGAGAGAGAGAGAGAGAACCTGGGGAAATACCTGGTCCTGCTCGATGGTTCTATCATCTATGAGATTCCAACTTCCCAACATCAAATTGTTTCTCCATCACTTCCCCTAATATATAATAACACACAATAGTTAACAAAAATGTTATTTTCAGTTGTGTTTATTTTAAATACGTTGAAACCCACAACAACCACAAATGATAATTAACACCAAACGGTCCAAACCCACAATTATAATAAAATGAACGAAAAGCAAAGCAGCAGCTACAACTGCAATTAAATCGAATTCCTCCCAAAGGCAAAATAATTGACCACTAAAGAATCTCTATCTCTCCACTTTGGCCTCTCCATCCCCTCTATATTTTTTCCAGTAAGATGTGGACTGCAATCCATTTTTTTCTGCGGACCAAAAAACACCACAGGTAATACCTTCCCTTTACCACTGCCATCTCAGTCCTACTCAAGGCTCAATGGCTCAACTAATGTAGGCCGTAAAACTTAATCTCCTTCATAATTCAAGAAGCACAGATATTAGAAAAGGCAAAAGAAGAGCAGCAGGAAGAATAAGGAAAATAATACAAAGAACGACCCTAAACGTATCAATAAACACTATGGTTGTTCCGGCAAGGTTTAGGCAAAGGACATGTCGTTGGAGTAGGGATAAAAGAGATGTCTTGACTAAAAAGGACTCCACGGCAGGGACTTACGGCAGGAAAGAAAGAATCCATCTCCAAGCTCGAATATGCAAAATGGAAAGAGAGAAAGTGAGTAGCAACTGAAGAAAATGAGCGACTAAAACCTAAAGCATAAACACTGGCTAACTCTAAATAGGCCAATTGAGACATCCATATTGCTTACAGAAACTGGAAATAAATAAAAAAAAACTAAAAATGGGCAAATTTAAAACCGTGTACCTGGTTTCGCAGATTCCTTAAAGACTGATCTTCTCCCTTTTCTTGTAAGGTTCATCCCCGTCCAATCTCAAAAGCTTTCCTCCATTGCGGTTCTCATGACAGAAAGCTTTCTCGAGATCTCCCCTTGATCCAACCCGGCAGAGAGATTTGAAAGATCAATAAAGATCAACCTTGCCCCTGGGATGAGTAAAATCGACCAAAGAGATCTCCTCCTCTCTTAAACCTTCCCGATGGATCATCTTTCTCCCTTCTCCTCCTTCTTCGAGGCAAAGAGACTGATGATAAGTTTTGTTTTTTTTTTCGTTTCATTTCTCTTGATTTTTCCGTACAGTAGTGAGAAAATTGAGTGGATAGGAAGAGGGCAAGAGCTAATTGACATGGGAAAATCCACTTATGCCTGCTCCGTCGGTCCCTCTTCCACGACCACCGTTGCCGCCGCCACATGGCAACTCTACCTCTTCCCTCCTCCAGCCAGCATCACGACCATCCCGAGCGCCAACGACCACATATTTGATGGGGAAGAAGCACCGAGATCATTGGGTGCATTTGATTTTGGAAGATTCAGAAAGGAATGAGTAAGAAAGTTGTGAAGCTATGCTCCGATGCGAAGAATGTAAAAATAACAAATAGAGACAGAAGCACCTACTGTGATTGAAGAAGACACTGTCTTTTCACCCGCCTCCTTTTTCTGTTTTTTTATTTTGCTGTATTTTTTGTTCTTGTTGCGGTTGTTCCCGTTGAAGGCGCAGTCCCCAACTACAACTCTTCCTTCATCAGAAGTCAATCGACAACTTAGCAAGCTCATTTCCTGCGTGCTTTTAAGGTTGATGAATCCATTAGGAAAACAACTTTTTAGCAAAATTCAAAACCCTAAAAGTAATCAAAAACCGGAAAAGAGGCTCGATACTCACCCTTCAACCTGTATCCCATACGCAAGCTCAGCACCGGCGTGGATTTAAGTTCGATGAATCCATTTAGAAAACAAGGTTTCAGTAGAGCCAGCGACAACCCTCCATCCGCACCAGGCAGCATCATCGATCCCGTCGACGCCATTTTCTTCTTCGTCCATCTCCGCAAACAACACTAAAAACAAGAATCAGAAGCAAAAACAGAAAGGAGGATGAACTCCAAGAACGATATTGAACAAAAACCCAGAAAAACCTAGAAGAAAGGAACCGACTTTATATTGATGGATAATCGTGAGTTCCGGTTTGTGCTCTATTTCGCCGGATTCTTCTGTCATCTCCTCCTTGTTCTGCTTCACCCAAGTCTCGATCTTCCTTTTCTTTTGCTTCACCTTGCTTCTTCTTCGTCGTTCAGCACAAAAGAGAGAAGGAGAGAGAAAGCAGATCCAGAAAGATGGAGAGAGGAATTGGGGATTAGACATGAGGAAGAAAGAAGGGATAAGTAATAAAAAGTCTCCATTTGTTAGAAAAAGCAAAACACGTAACAGTAACAGGATGTGACTTTACCCAACAGAGAGAAAAGAGAGAGGAAAGCAATGATTACAAACGAGAACTCAGTAAAAGTCTGGCAAAGAACAACAGTGTTAGGACGTGACTCTAAGAAACAGTAAAGTTGTAACTTGTTCTTTTAAAGAGATAATTTTTATTTTGCTGTATTTTTTGTTCTTGTTGCGGTTGTTCCCGTTGAAGGCGCAGTCCCCAACTACAACTCTTCCTTCATCAGAAGTCAATCGACAACTTAGCAAGCTCATTTCCTACGTGCTTTTAAGGTTGATGAATCCATTAGGAAAACAACTTTTTAGCAAAATTCAAAACCCTAAAAGTAATCAAAAACCAGAAAAGAGGCTCGATACTCACCCTTCAACCTGTATCCCATACGCAAGCTCAGCACCGGCGTGGATTTAAGTTCGATGAATCCATTTAGAAAACAAGGTTTCAGTAGAGCCAGCGACAACCCTCCATCCGCACCAGGCAGCATCATCGATCCCGTCGACGCCATTTTCTTCTTCGTCCATCTCCGCAAACAACACTAAAAACAAGAATCAGAAGCAAAAACAGAAAGGAGGATGAACTCCAAGAACGATATTGAACAAAAACCCAGAAAAACCTAGAAGAAAGGAACCGACTTTATATTGATGGATAATCGTGAGTTCCGGTTTGTGCTCTATTTCGCCGGATTCTTCTGTCATCTCCTCCTTGTTCTGCTTCACCCAAGTCTCGATCTTCCTTTTCTTTTGCTTCACCTTGCTTCTTCTTCGTCGTTCAGCACAAAAGAGAGAAGGAGAGAGAAAGCAGATCCAGAAAGATGGAGAGAGGAATTGGGGATTAGACATGAGGAAGAAAGAAGGGATAAGTAATAAAAAGTCTCCATTTGTCAGAAAAAGCAAAACACGTAACAGTAACAGGATGTGACTTTACCCAACAGAGAGAAAAGAGAGAGGAAAGCAATGATTACAAACGAGAACTCAGTAAAAGTCTGGCAAAGAACAACAGTGTTAGGACGTGACTCTAAGAAACAGTAAAGTTGTAACTTGTTCTTTTAAAGAGATAATTGTAGGCTATGATAGAATAAATAGAGCAAATGCGGCTCACCATATCATCTCATAACAAGGTTAACGAAGAGTTGTTCTGTAACTTCCTAGAAGATATAAGATCCTTTTGTTGTCCTAAACCATCTGCATTTTACACCATTTATCTTCGTATCCTTACTTTCTCTCTATTCCAACGACAGTAACTCTAGGAATTGCCGGAGAAATATGCATTGTTCTAATTTGAGTCCAAACTCGCTGTCATGCATGAATTTTGTTGTTGTTTTATGTTGCTATCTAAAAGGGCAAACATGAACTAAACGTTCATAGGAGGGCAAACATTTGTTTTAGAATGTGTATGGTTCATTTTAGAATCTGTTTGCCTGCTCTCTGTAGCTCTCTCGAATGTTTGCTTAGATGTTTTTCTCTGCGTTTGTGGCCGCGACTATATCTTTTCAGCAGATATATTTAGCTTTGCTGTTAGTGTTTTGCCTTTGGATGGTGGAAGGAATTCAGTGCAAGAATGGTGCTTTTGTCCAATCAGTGTTACATACTAATTTGATTGAGAAGAGAATTCTCAGAGAGCAATGTTTCCGAGACTGTTCTTCAATTCTCGTATCTTTTTGCCTATCTCAAGCTGGCCAATATGCAGTTAATACTCAGGGTATGAGGAGGTGCCATTGTTGGATAGCCGAAACCACTTTTCCCTATCAGTTTGTCATTTTCCTTCTTTTTGATGAATGAGTAGATTTTTCGTATGCTTTAGATGTATCGTTATGCATGGTTTAGATTGTCTGTGTTCTACTTGCCAATTTGCGCCGCATTGTTTAGTGAATTGCCATGTCTGCTCACTTTTTGTTATTTGTCGGCATCTGCTCGGATAGATTGAGGAGCAACCATGACCTAATCCAAGGGATTTATCATTAGGGTCCACCTGTGTCAATTAAATTATGTTGTCTTCAGACTGCTCAGTTGAAACTGACGAACAAGGTAAGCAGCAAAACGATCCTCTCTTCATAAGCTTTTACTGAAATACTACAAAGCATTGTAATTCCATTTTTTTTCTGTTAGCTGTAATTCTGCATCTTACGGCTTGCTGGAACTGGTTCCATTTAGATTAGTATACTTAGTTATTAATATTTACTTTAGTAGAACAATAAGACTTGCTGGGAATGAAGTCTAATTCTTTGTTATAATTGTCACTGTTAATAAATTTAGAATTAGTTTTCTGTGGTTGTCAACGCTGGACCCTGCAGAATTCTGTTTCATAAGCTCAAAGCAATCATGAATTGGAAAGGTTTTCCAGCTTAAAATTCCATGCTATTTTTAGATGGTGGATTTTTCATTTGTTAGCCTTCTTTTTTGGGTAGTTGGCCGTGTTCTAATTCCTATGCATTTTTTCTTTTGAAAGATATTATTAATCATCTTTATATTAGTTTCCTACCTTTATTTCGCAGGTTTCCAAATCAGTTGTAGGAACGTGTCTTTTGAAAATTGGTGGATGGATTTGTTCTCTTTTATCAAGGGACATGACCTTTGGTCCTTCAAATTCAATTTTCTTGAATTGTTGCATTGTTTCCATGCAACGTGAGGGCTTAAATTCCATGTAACCAACTTGATTCATTTTGGTTTGTTTGATCCAAACCGGTATTTCCACTAAATTCCAACATTCCTCCCCTATTTTAGTGTATTCAAAGAATTCACTAAAATTACAACATTCTTCCAACAAAACTTAAGCATAAATGAAAATGTCGTGATGATTGAATTTTCACCTTAGTATATTACACTTAACGAATATTCGAATACAAAGGGTGTCGGTAACGATTGAACCCATTGACTCATATGAATATTTGAAGATAATATACACTCAAGTTTTCAAATCTTCTAAGCGCCTTGACACTATTACCCACCATGTGTCCAATCCTTCTCGTAAGTGCACACGAAACCAAAGTCAGGGTTTCTTGAAGCGGCTGCACTTCATGCTTACATAGGTTGAATCTCTTGTTCGTGTACCCGCATAATACACTTTTTCAAAGATTCAATTACGAAGTTTTATACTTCATCCTCCTCTCTCATGCAGGGTAACAAGCACATACCTCGGGATGACAAATTTTGTGCTTCAATTTCTGATAATGAGCTTTCCACATTGAATTCAGCCTCTAACGTTGTATTAGAGGGGAATTGGGTGTCCCATGATCAGAAATTATATGGACTTTAAACCCATCCCTTTCACAAACTTGACTACCAAGTCACTAGTTAATCATTTCGTCAAATGATTCACTAAATTATCTCAAGTCCGGTCACATTTCATAGACACAATTCCATGAGAGATCAATTCAAAGATTTTAAAGTGCCTAACTCACACATGACCATACTTGTCATTTCACACTTGACTATATGCCTAAGCCAAATTAGCATTACTATCACAAAAGATAGTAATAGGTGAGATTGGTTTAGGCCATAAATACATGTCATAAACCAAACCTCTCAACAATTATGTCTCTTCTCTAAGAGAAACCAAGACCACACAAACTTTGATTCCATAGGGAAACTTAGTGATGCAAGTTTGCTTTCTAGAGGCCCAAAATATGACACCTCTCCCAAGCAAGAGGATCCATCTCAATGTTGAAGTATCACCTTTAACATGAGAAATCCAACTAACATCAACAAATCCTTCCAAAATGGATGGAAAGCCACTATAAGTCAATACAGTGTGCCTTTGACATATCTTAGTACACACCTCATTTCATTTCAAATGATGAGAACTAGGATTCATCACGTAGCAACTTAATTTTTCTATTGCATATGCGATATCTAGCATCAAATAAGTCATGCATACATTGAGCCCCCAATTTGACATGGAATACTCCAGTTGTAAAACTGATTTCCAGTATTAACCATAAGTTCCATACTTGGATCCATTGGGTTCTTTAACTCACTACAATTCCTACTATGGAATTTATGCAAGTACCTTCTCATGCAGAAAAATTGAGAGAATGACTCTTTCTTGTCGTTGCGCTTGATTCAATACACAGAATCACATTTGCCTCCCCATGTCCGACATGGAGAATTGAAATAACCTTTTTTTTTTATCAAAGTTCACTTATCTTTTATTTGGTCCCCAAGATAAGCATGTCTTATACATACAAATGTACGATAACTTCATTACCAGAATCATTATAAATTGTGTACAAATTTTGTCTCCTTGGTTTAAAATAACATAAACCACTAGACAAAATCACTTATCTTTGATTGGTCCCAAAGATAAATATGTCATCTACATACAAACACAATGACTCTATTACCAGAATCATAAAACATTGTATATACAATTATGTCTCCTTGGTTTAACATAAACCACTTAGACAAAACCACTCCATCAAACCACTAGACGAATCCATATTTGTCTAGCACTTCGTAAATGTCGAATAGACAATTAGAAAAATTAACCATTGAGTATGTGACCTACCCAAAGGCAATTTTCATTCTTCTATTTCTCCATTTTACGAATCATTCTCCTTCTTCCTCATCTTCGAATCATCCCTCTTCCAAGTTACCTTTCCGGATATGGAATACACCATGACACTAGTACGAAGAACACTCATCTTCTACTGCCATCGATGAAATACCCATCATCGAAAATTCTCATAATTCCATAGACCGGAACCGGTTTCTTGTAAAGAGCGGTTCGAGCCATCGTACTGTAAAATATTCTTTACGATTGTTGGGACTTTTTAGAATGAGGGTACACGTACGATAGCCCGAGACCAGGTGACTAGGATTATGATAGAGTCGTGAACTACGTTCACTTTTCATAAAGAATATTTCCACCCTCAACAAGCCTAGGGTTGCAGGAAATTTTTTCGTAGGATAAAACTATCACCACTTTAGGTTCCAGGCTTAAGTATCTAAAGCATACTTAGAAATTTAGTAGGAAGAAGAATCGATTTTCGGTGTGTCCACCCCCACCTTGCCGAGTCCTCTAATATATAGAGGATCAAGTGATACATCAAAGGGTTGTAACCCTTCAATTTGTGGCGGTTCCATTTCCAAAACCTTTGAAAAGTTGTCTCATTTGGAATGAAACCGTTCAACATGCATGGACTTATCTTATTGCCATGAGAAGGAACGTGTCTTTTGGAAATTGGTGGATGGATTTGTTCTTTTCCATCAAGGGACATGACCTTTGGTCCTTCAAATTCAATTTTCTTGAATTGTTGCATTGTTTCCATGCAACGTGAGGACTTAAATTCCATGTAACCAACTTGATTCATTTTGGTTTGTTTGATCCAAACCGGTATTTCCACTAAATTCCAACACTTAAGGTTACCTGTTGTATCATACACTTCTCGCATTCTTTGCCACGCTTCATACCCCCCTCTTTCTTCTTAAGGTAAGGTAAAGGGCCCGGCATGGTGGGGTAGGAGCATCCTGTCGGCAATCTTTTTGGCTTGACCAATAAGTCTTATGTCCTCCGAGTCGCACGGCGTTTTAACCGAAAGAACTTCTTGCGCAATTCATGCCTTTCTGTTTTTATGACCAGAAATTTTTTCTTGATTTCAATTTCAAATTGTTCTCTGGACTTTTTATCAATATGAGGTGATCGTAACACAGTATATAAGACTCGTGATGAAGGCAATCCAATCTTACATGCTATGAATCTTTCACTTTATTAAAGAAAGGCATTTTGAACACAAAGAGCAGGCTTGATACACTTTTTCACCCTGCTATGTAGAGTGAAGATTTTTTTTTATTTTTATATCATTGTTGGTAGATCACCTATCGAAGGATGCATTAACTAAGACCTACTGAAATAGTTGCTCGTGCATTATGACTTCTTCTTTTATTGGCACGGATGAATCAGTAAGACTAGGGAAGCGCAGACAAAGAGGAAGACTTTCAGAGCAATCCACTGCTACATCCAATCCATTTCATTAGGAATTGATGATCTTTTTTTATAATGGTGATAGACATGCATTAAATGAAAAAAAGGAGAACAAGAGGTCCGGGAAGTGGAGGTTCACAAGAGACTGAACCAAAGCACCTCCCACAAAGGGGAAGAAACAAAACAACCGAGAAACAAAAAAGAAACAAAAAAGGGAAAAGGAAAAGGAAGAAACTGCAGAACAGAAACGCTAGCTAAGTGGATGAGGCCACTCCTGCTAGTCGGAGAAAACACTCAATAACAAACAAAGGAGACCCAAACAAAGCATAGGAGAGGGCAAGGATGAAACCAGCCCGTGTCATATTCGGAAGAAACCCCAGAACCCAGTCGCGCATCTGTCCTTGGCTGGCCAAAACCCTGAGTCGAAGACCAAAAACTGCAACCAACTCGCACGAGTAGCTGACCACACACACCCCGCCACATCCAACATTCATTCAGCACAAAAATGAGCGCCACCAAGCCAACTCTGCACTACCAGAGGGAGGCATCCAAGACGGCCGGATTCAATGATCGGAAGAGCCAATAAAAGAGTCAACCTTAAAATGCTGCGTGGAAGGCTGTGTGCTGAATTTGAGCAAGCCATTGCCGACCCTCTTCTCTACTTGATTTTCCCAATGTAATAGGCCACTCAATCATTGACTTAACAGCTTTGAGAGTGATGACAACTGGTGTAAGGTGTTTGTTCTGGAAAATTCTTGTATTTCGCTCAAGCCACACCTGCTAGAAAATGGCATGAAGTGCATAATAATTGATCGAGCCACCAATGCTTCTTGGAGTATCAGACTTCCATATGCTAATCGATGAAGGGACGTCATTGGATAACGATTCAATGCTCGAGCAGACCAGCTGACTTCTCCTCCAAACCTCCTTGCTGAACTCAAATTGGATGAAGAGGTGATCTGCCGTCTCTTCATTTGTAGTGCAAAGTTCACATCTATTAGCCAATTGCCAACCTCTGTTCTCTTCATCAGGAATTGATGATCTTTTAACAATACCTTCTAAGGGTGGCTAGTCCACGATGCTGAACAACAAAGTTTGATTTTGGAAAAACACCATCATAACGGAAATGTACACGCGATACAAAAATTACGCCAGTTCATTGAGATATGGTATGCTACAAGTGAATATTTGCGATAAGAAATGAATCCTACTTGTAGGATGACATAACCTTTTAATCCAGTTCATATAATGTCTTTTTTCTGGAGCAGAATTCCAAGAATTCTGGTTATATACTCTTTCCAACCTTTAACTCTCTTTTCTAGGTTTATCGATATTGAATCGATTGAACGCACTTCTAACACTTGTTCCACTTTTGGAAGACCCTGCGTTATATCACCAGATCTCGATTTTTCATATATAAATGTAACTAATGTATCCCCTTCGTAAAAGATCTTTCCGTAATGGCATGAACAGTTGCTTCCGGAGTGGCCAAATAAGGTTTAGCATATCTTATTACGATAGAGTCAACGTAAACAATTATAACTTGATCAGATTGGAGGTATGGTCCATCTTGGGCCATACATACATTTTCACAAATAAACTGCCCCAGGCTAATTAATGTGACTATTTCGGCACAATAATTATGATTATAATTTTCATCGAGAAAATACTAATCCAAATGAAATGGATTCAATACAATCTTACCACCACATTAAGAACGTTTCATACCGGCGGAGTATTCACAGGAGGTACTGCAGAACATGTACGAGCACCCTCTAATGGAAAAATCAAATTTAATGAGGATTTGGTTCATCCCACACGTACACGTCATGGGCATCCTTCTTTTCTATGTTATATAGACTTAGATGTAACTATTGAGAGTCAAGATATTATACATAACGTGACTATTCCACCAAAAAGTTTTCTTTTAATTCAAAATGATCAATATGTAGAATCCGAGCAAGTGATTGCTGAAATCCGCGCGAGAAAATACACTTTGAATTTTAAAGAAAAGAGGGATGTTTTTGGCAACATGTTATGTAGGAAGAAGACGTCTCTAGAACAAGCTTCAATTCTTGGAGTTCAAGAATGAAAGATCTCGAACAAGACCTTCGCTCTTACATGAAAAGGAGGTTATGGAGGAGCTTCAAAACACTCTCTGGCAATAATTCAGTGGCTTCAAAAATATAGAGCCAATTGGTCAATTCAAGGCGGCAAGAACACTAGGTTTTTTCATAACAGGACCGTTAGCATAAAGAGAAGAAATGTAATCTCGAGGCTGAAAATGAGAATGTTATTGAATCACGGATTCATATGCTTTACAAATGATAACCTGAGAGTTTTATCTCAAGCTCTACACCAAAGTAGTTGGAGTTGATAGCTCCTTGATCCCTATTGACTTTCCCGTCATTGAAGACCAATCCATCTGTAGACTTGGTCTCCCATCCATCAACGAGGAGATAAGAGGAATTGTCATAAATATGAATGTTCCAAAAGACATTAAAAAGATGGTTCTCGTGCGATCTTCTTCCAGAAATGTTGGTACTGCTGCCAAACTATGTCTCATTTTATACAGTATCTGGACAAATTTAAAAAAGTCAATTTTCTTCCTACCTAGATTTATTCCAACCAGGGTATTATGCTAACAGATGAATTTGTTAGAATCGTGCCTATGCAAATATTATGCAAATAGTTTATGAAGAATTTTATATTAAACAGTCCATAATTATTTTCATATAACTGTGTTGAAACATATTCATAATATGTATTATGTGCATTCACATGTGAATACTTCTAGTGTTTTGGATGAATATATTAAGTGTGTCGCATGAATATGTCAATGAGTCGGTCGGTTCTAGCCATTATTGGATTGCCCCTTGACCGCTCCGATTTGGATGGTGTCTAGACATCCTAATTGGAAGGGCCATAAGCACCCTGACTAAACTGGATTTAATATTCACAACAAAATCACAATTCAAATATGAAGGTGGATTAAAATTTGAAGATTTTGTTAGATTCAATATAGCTATGATAGTTAATCGATCATAAAGGCACTTGCTAGAACTAGAAAGTACATTAGCCAAAATATACAAAGGCTCGGTACCACTCAATGACCATTTCTTGACGGCCAGAGCTGGACTAACTACCTCTGACATTGTAGGATTTGTCTAACGTATTACAGTACTAACTAACAACTCAACTATAAGCGAAGTCTCCAAAAGTTCATAATCATATTATTGATATTAACGGCTAATTTGTGTAACAATACGAATTTGATGTGTAAGTTCGATTTGTTTAATTATTGCGGTTTGACCATTATTATCTTTGGTTAACCCGACCAGTGAGCACAAATCAGAAAGTAATTAAATACGTGTTCCACTAAATCACCCCCTTAAGCATCTGATCCTCCTCCATGACTTCCGATCCCCTGATATTCACTCATTTCAAAACGTTAACCCATTACCATCCAAAAAATCAATATTGACCCATTAATCAATTAGCATATATAAATATATAATGGTGTATTCGGTGCACCTACTTTTTTTTAGTGTATTACACTTTTTTGAATGCACTCAGCTCATAATCATAATTATGAGCATGTGATTCATTGTGTAGGCGTTGAAGCGCACAATATGTGCGACAGTACTGACCCCAATACTGGGAAAAATCCAAATCTACCACTGTTTTAAAAAAAATTTACAAAAATACCACCCTCACCAAATAATTTCCAAAAATACCATCGTTTATATAAAACCGCGCCTCTGATGAGCGGTTTTCAATGAAACCGCGCCTCTAGGCTGCGTTTTCCCTTATAACCGCTCCTTGGACGCGCGTTTTTATTTTCCAGAGAAAACCGCTTCTGGAACGCGCGGTTATAGGCTAACCCTACCACAAAACGCTTTAAGAGGGAGCGTTTAAATGTCGGCATTACAAACCGCCTGATAAAGGGGCGGTTTACAATGTCAGGACACAAACCGCTCCCCCGAGGCGCGGTTTGTGCCTGGTCACCCGACACCCGACATGTCGGACATGTCGGCATGCAGGGGTAGGGCTGCATGGCAGACATAAAACCGCTCCTCCCCCAAGCGGGTTTGCTGCAAAATTTGCCTATAAATGGCTGTTTCGGAGAACTCAATTCTTCACACTTCCTTCCTCAAATTTCAGCTTTGCACCTTTAAATTATTTAGTTTTTGCGATTAACGTTAATTCGTAAGTTTGTTTCGTAATTACTTTTCATTGTCTTTGTGATTTTATGTTAGTAACTTAATTACTTTTGATTGTCCTTTGTGATGTTATGTTAGTAACTTAATTACTTTTCATTGTCATTTGTGATTTTATGTTAGTAATTTGAATTACTTTTCATTGTCCTTTGTGATGTTATGTTAGTAACTTGTGTTACTTTTCATTGTCATTTGTGATTTTATGTTAGTAATTTGAATTACTTTTCATTTTTCTTTGTGTTGTTATGTTAGTAACTTGTGTTACTTTTCATTGCAGATGGCATTCCAAAGGTTCACGCTTGGGTTGCGGTGGAATGGTTACACGGAAGAGACCGAAAAGGGTGTAAGTTACGTCGGTGGCAATTTTCATAAAATGAAGGTCCGTACGAGACCGATGCTTGAAGAGCTCCATCAAATGTGCACTGAGATTACCTGCATGGATGGCACTAGAAGAGTTGATCGAATGGTGTATCGATATCCAAACAGACATGACGGGTCGCTGTGGTATGAGGAATTCCTCCTTACCACTCAGGAGGACGTTGATGCCATGGTCCAATTTTTGACCACCAATACAATTAAGCAAGCGGAGATGTTCGTTTACACCGAGGCCGTCGAAGGCAGTGTAGGTCATTCTGGAGATGGCCAAACATCTGGTATCCACGGTGGGAGTGTATTATACGAAGATCATCCGCACCAGGATTTCCAAGACTCGAGTTGGAGTCAGGAGTATCATCATGGAACTGGAGGAAGTCATCAATCCTTCCCTTCATATGAAGAAGAAGCTCAACAGGCGGATTACAACCAACAAGCAGGCTACCAGTACCCACCCGAGTACAACTTCTATCAAAGCGGTGTTAGTTACCACAACTACCATTACGGAGCTAGTGAAGGTCAAGGTGCCTTTCATGCTGATAATCAGATGGAAGAAGAGGTCAATCCAAGTCCAGTTAGTGACCCTCTTCTTGAGCGAAATCGGCCATTCTCTCGGAATCCGGACAGAGGTTCGACGGTTTTTTAGTGAAAACCAAAGAAAAGTTTTTTGGAGGCAGATCGGACTTAGGCCGCAACCAACAAAAAAACGTTTCTAAGGTTTTTGGGTGGGGAGGGGAGTGGATAGGGAGAAATTAGAGGGAGAGAGGGGGGAATGAGGTTGGTGTGCAGAAAAGTGAAGGGGGGAGGGGGTTTATATAGGGTACAAACCGCGTCCCCGAGGGCCATTTCGTCAATTTTCTCCAACGAAAACCGCGCCTCGGAGACGCGGTTTGCTTCTCCCGAACAGTCAACCGCGCCTCGGGGACGCGGTTTGCTTCTCCCGAACAGTCAACCGCGCCTCGGGGACGCGGTTTTCTTTTCCCGAACAGTCAAACCGCGCCTCGAGGACGCGGTTTACTTGGCCGACGCGGATCGCCAAGCTGGCACACGTTTTGGCCGTTAGATCGCTCTCCCATCAAGCGGTTTAATGAACCGCCACGTGGACACGCGGTTTGACAGCCATGCAAGGTCAAACCGCTCCTTGGTGAAGCGTTTTGGGATGAAACCGCGCCTCTAGGCTGCGGTTTCATTGAAAACCGCTCATCAGAGGCGTGGTTTTATATAAACGATGGTATTTTTGGAAATTATTTGGTGAGGGTGGTATTTTTGTAAATTTTTTTAAAACAGTGGTAGTTTTGGATTTTTTCCCCAATACTGTGGGATTTGCCCTAACTACTTTAATTGCGTAAAAGAGGTTGTTACATCATGCATTGCTGCAGGAGACACCCGAGCAGAAGGGATTCCTCTTCACCAAGTCGTACCAAGCTGATAGCCTCTCCGCTGGTTCCGTCACCGGTTCCGCCAGTTGTTCCCAGGAAAAGGATAAACAACATTGAAAATACTCTCTCGCCGATGCCAAGACCTTCTTTGATCACATCTGCAAGTTCGCCGTCTCTACCTTCGTCAGCAACGATGATTGCACCATATGGTACAGACAAAATTAACGGGATGACAAGTTAGTCAATACAGGAGACAGGGGAACTATGGGTCAAGATAGGGTGAATAATCTTAAGGTGAGTAACTATGAGTAATTAAATCCGGACCCTTCTTTTACGTGACTGCAGATGTAAGGGTGGAGAATTAAAGGTATTTACTTTTTTTGTTTTCTTGATTGGATTATATCTTTTTCATTCTAATTCGAATTTCATTTTTTTTTTGCACAGATGAAACGAGTTCGTTGTGCTCTACAAAATA